GTTGCAGCGGGATCGCCAACCTGCTGTGCGGAGATAGACAGAGAAACGACAGCTCTCTGTTACTCCACTATAGCCCGACCGTAACCGTGGGCCAGGACGTAACAATGTGCAAACACTGATAAAGAAGCATAACATTAATCATTATTCCACATATTCTGTTATGAAGGCTTCAATTGTAGAACGATTCAACCGTACGTTGAAGAACGACATGTGGAAACAATTTACACTTAACGGAACTTACAAATAGATCGACATATTACCGCGTCTTTTTATGGAGTACAACGCGAGAAAACATCGAACTTTTGGTATGCGACCTATCGATGTTACCCCAGCAATCGCCGAGAAGCTCTTAACCACGGTGTACATCAATGTCAAGATCGCAGGGCCAGCACAATTCAAAGTTGGTGATCCGGTACGTGTAAGCAAATTTAAAAAACAGTATTCGATAAAAGATATACGCCAAATTGGACGACCGAAGTATTTAAAATCAGTAAAATACAAACGACCTATTCTGTGACGTATCTGCTTGAGGATTCACGCGGACAATCTGTTGCTGGAGAATCCTATGAATACGAACTGCATCGCGTTGCACATCCAGACGTTTATCTCGTTGAAAAAGTATTGCGTAAGAAAGGTGACAAGGTTTATGTGAAGTGGCTAGGATTAGACAAGTCGTACAACTCTTGGATAAATAAAACTAATGTTATGTAAACACACTATATACAGAATGTATATAAATTACAACATATATACATAATTATTACACATATTAAATGACAATATATACATATAATATACATATAATATACATATAATATACATATAATCTATATTATACACAGTTTTCTTGTGGTATTTTATAATGTCCCCATGGTAATGTTCCAGTAGAATCGGATACGATATACCGCTTATTGTCATACAGACTTAGAGCAAGTTTTGATTCGGACACAGTGTATACTTCGTGTAACTTTGGTCGTATACACGACTGTTAACAAATCTTTTCGATTTCATCATTCAAACATTGTTTGTAATCGTCAAACGTTAATGTTCTCGCTACGATGCTACTCTTTACACCTTTGGCCTTTTTCGTGTCTTTCTTTCCATCTACCTTTAATGCATACATTTTTGCTCTAAGTCCGACGAATTCAGTCAATATCATTCCGTTATTTTTATCAGTCCTTCCTTCATCAGTCCTGGAATCTTTTTGTTGACGCGTGGCATACCGTACACGTTATCAGTCGGATAATCACTTGTGTCGAATCGAACAATGTCACGTTTTATGATATCATACACGTTCTCGTATTCGATGAAATAAATAAGACTGTCTGTGTCGGTGTACATAATTTTACATTTTTCTTGATACAGAGGTGCCATGTAATCGTGGTGAAATTTATACAAACACGTCTTGGATATGTCTAATATACACATTCCTACGTAGATCGGTTTGTTGAATTTCACTTTGAGTTTACGCAATTCAATCGCAATAAAATGTTCAGAAAAGACGCTTTGACTATAAACATTTGGTCGAGAGATTAGTGCTTCCGCTACGTATCTTCCATCCTACTTTGTTACAAGTTTTACGTCTACATGGCTTCGCACATTTTCCACAGTTTTACCAAACACTGCGTTATTCATCAAGTTGTACAAATTTTTCTCAAAGTCGTTAGTAGCAAGCGTTCGAAATTGTGTGTTTAATTCGATGTAACTGCGGAGCCACGGATATTGCGCAAATTGTAATATGCGGTGGATCTTTGTAATACAAAGACCGTGTCGCACATATTGTTGCAGAGCGCGATGATGAATGATATAACGCGATTTATCGTGTAGTGTTGCAAGCAGCTTTTCCTGTCGCTTACCAGGCGGCTTATCGAGCGTCGGGCAGAACGGTAGGTCAGCGTGCGCGTCATGCAGTTTGCGAGGATACTCGAGGTCGACTTCAAAGATGTAACCGATATCTGAGGTTGCTGTCACAGATATCACGTCGACATTCCAGATGTTGTCTACCTATTGGAATGCGGCATACGGTAATGGCTGACACATTGCCCAGCCGTACAAGTTATTTATATCAAAGTACATGAAATACGACGTTGGTTTTGATGAGTCGTATGTCTGCATGTACTTGTTATTAGCGTGCGCGTATCTTGTGCTGCACTGNCTAAGACCACCGTGTATACCCCGTTCGATAAACATAACCATATCAACATCTGTGAGCAGGTCAAATATTATGCCTGTGTGTTTCAGCATAACGTCCCATGTGTAACCGGGTAAAGTATAATAATACGCGGGATCTAATCCATAACTTCGAATACAACTTGCTCAAAACTTCTCAAATATATCGGCCAATAATAAAACAGTCTTCAAATATAAATCGCTGTATTCACCTAACGTACTAATAGAAAATCGCTGCCAGATGTTTACAGCGTGTGCATATTTACTCTCAGATATTGTTTTACCGGTCAGAGAAGTGTAAAATAACTCACGTGGTGGTAAACGCTGCTCTTGTCGACACAGTCTATTTATTCGTACAGAAAGACCCCTTTACGCGTTAATAATTCAAAGTTTTCGACGGATAAATTTCTAAATTCTGATTGTACAATTTTCAACTTGTCTTTATGAAGAAACGATGCTAGTTTATCGAGACTAGCGCTGAGAAATTTGTACGAATCAATGAATCGCAACTCTATATTGTGACTTTTTTGAGTGTTTTTTTCCGGTTGCGCCACGTTCTTGAAAAAGGAAATATATTTCTCCTTGGTAATAGGGAGAACAGTGACATTTCCTTCGAATGCAGTTGCAACCTCTTTAATAATAAAGTGTGCATCGTATCCGGATAAATTATGAAAAATTACTGGGATACAGTGTGAATCTTTATAATTTAAGTTGCAGTTGGAGTGTGCGGGACCTTCTTACCGACCGGTTATATGACAATGATCGCGAACTTTTATATCATCTACTGCAAATGGTTTTTTGCACACGTGACAGTGACTCGCGTTACGATAAACTGATTTTTGTTCTTCTGTTAACATTTCCATGGACACATTATTAGATAAAATTGTTTTTACTCGATTAGCCAATTCTTTGAGTTTATCGACGAATCATGCGATGCAATCTTTGCCGCGACGATAGCGATAAGAAGAGAAAGAGTCGTGTATGAGCAGCAAACATAATATCCTATGCTGAACGCCGTGTGATGTTGATATGCATAAGATGTTTGCTGCGTCTTTCCATCAGTTCTGTGTAATACGCTCTCAAGGTCAGCGTATACTACGAATGAGAGGCGTTTCTTCCTACTGTGGTTGTTAAAACTGAGCCATTTGTTATCCTCCGCTGGTAACCGGATCGCGCAATTTTTGAATTTTCCGCAATCTATGTTGTGAACATTCAACTTGTCCAGAGAATGGAAGTAGTGTAAACATTTGCAAATATATATTACTTTTTTCATATTGTCACACATTCTATATATATAACGCAAAAGCATTTCACACATCCTATATACATATATAACGCAAAAGCATACCTGTCACAAATATATTTCTTTCCATTGTGTTTGCATACCTGTGCGCTCACGAGTCGAGACACATTCTTTATACACGCAAAGTGTCCACGATCAACGTCTCGTGAATCCGAAACATAGAGCAAGTTTACGTGTTTCTCTTTCTTTTGCTCTGTGAGTCGTATTGGAAGGATGACAAGTTCGTTCTTCTTCTTCTTATTTCTCTTCAATTCCATGTTGTACACATTGACGGAGATGTCGATGAGCCGTTCAAATTTTGATATTTGGTGTATGCTCGTTGGAAACTCAATGTTCTGTAGATTCAGCACTGTCGTATAATGGGGATACGATGATGTGCGGTGTCCATTTTCTTTGGTTGGATAAAAAGCGGCGACCACCGATCATGCAAAGCATGCATTATCTTTAGATAACACGTTAATTACCGCTCTCTTATACTTCATTTCTGGTGGCAAAGTTATACTACATCCTGCGCGCAATGCGATTATACTTGTTCACGTTTACGGGTGATACTCTATTGACCACAGTACGATTTGACACCGCTCGATTCGACACAGATTTATTCGACACCAAATTATTCGACACCGTACGATTCGACACCAGATTATT